CGTATCCCTTACTTTTTCATGTATTATAACATATCCAAATTTCAAAAAAATCGGAGAGTGACACTTCCGTAGGTTTACTTGTTAGTGCTATTAAATACTAATATTACTTTTTAATATTAATATGATTGTGGGAGGATAAAATTGTCCAGTATGTTAAACACACGTATCGAAATTTTTTCTTCGATTATCATACGCGGAGAATCAACAACCTTCCATACTTAGACCGATCCTTGAGTCCCAACTTTTAAATATATATTTTTATTAAAATCCCATTAAACCGAAGACTCAAATAAATTTCTTATATATGTTGCGAAAAAATTGCCTCCGCCAGAACTCCCGCCCGGAAAGTGGGGAGGTTCCAGGTTGGAGTCCTAGCGGAGGCAATTTTTTCGCAATATATATAAGGAATCTATTTGAGTCTTCGGTTTAATGGGGTTTGGGATTTTAATAAAAATATATATTTAAAAATTGGGACTCAAGGATCGGTCTAAGTATGAAAGGTTGATTCTCCGTGTACGATAATCGAAGAAAAAATTTCGATACGTGCGTTTAACATACTGGATAATTTTATCCTCCCACAATCATATTAATATTAAAAAGTAATATTAGTATTTAATAGCATCCGTGCTTGCTCCTTATGTGCCGTTAATATCTCACTATTTTTATTTTAACCGATTGTAGGTATTTCTACAATGATTATGTTGACTTAGCCAATATATACGCGTGCTGGTTTACAATGAGTCGCGGTGTATAAGTCTACATGTGTGTGAATGTGTGAGTATGAGAGTGTATGTGTAAGAGTGGATGTGTGCGTGGAAGTTAGTCTTCCGGATTTATATGGGGTGAAGAAGACAGGGAGTAGGGTGAGTCTTGAAGGACGAAATAGAACTTTGAACTCATCGGAATTATTGAAAATAATAAAAACTGATAGCGACCAAATGGATAAGATAAAATAAAATGGATGGCTTACTTTCGAGGTGCGTACTCTGGGTGGAGTAGGCTCGGTTAAATCTCGCCCTTTGTTTCGGAGTGCAGAATCGCTTGGCTCACCGTTGGGTTGATGTAAAGTAAGCGAGATGTGTTTCAGGCGGCAGAATGTTAGAGTGCGTATCCGGAAGAGCGATGAAAGAGTCCACGAAAAATTTACGGAACGACGAATTTCCAAGTAATCAACGAGAAATATTGCGTCGAAGAGTACTGCGTATAGTGTATAGCGTGTATGATGTTATATTACCGAAGGGGTACGAGTTGAGACTTTTATAAGGATCGACTTGGTTTGGAAATTAGGAAGTTCGGAGATAACTATTCCTGGATTGCTCGGAGATGACGTGCTGGAAATGAGAATAGTAGCTTGGATTGGAGAAAATTAGAGAAAAATGCGGAAACCTTTGATTGGGTTGCATGATAGGAGATGGCATTCGGTGATTCATGTGTACTTTGGTCATATGCACTTTGGTCGACGTGATTCAGGATTGCGTTTGTACAGATGTTTCATGAGGTATGACTTGAAGTTCTTGATTGCTTAATTATTTCGAAATTTTGTCGGATGAGCGGTATGTAATGCATTCAGAATGAAGGTACGGGTAGATTACAAATGAAATGTGCAAGAATGTACACTAGATTTTAAGATAAATACATTTCAAGACAATTTTTAATAATCCAAATATATTTTTCTTTTACTGTAATATATGTTATTTCTAAAATTATACTTTTAAACTGTTACTTTCTTAATCAAATTAAACGTACTATTTTAAGAAGTTTCTATGAATCTAATATATTTGTTTATTATTATCAGTGACTATTAAATAAAAAACATTGCAAGTACAATGAAAAATGCCTTTTATTAAAAATATTCCTAATTTGTTAGTACAAACAACACATATTTTATATTATATACAGAAATGTTATCAACGTAATAGTAAAATCTTATACAAATACTTTAAATCGTTTAGTATGTTCTTCATAAAATAAATGTGTTACGATAGACAGTTACATAATGATTACGAAAATATACAGAACCAGTTTCCAAGTCCCTCTATGGTCTCAAGGATCTAAAGGAATTTCGACCATTATGGAGAGGTTGTATATGCGAACCTAAAATTTGTTTTAAAATAGAGACGTTCTGTTCTGCTTTTTCTGCCGATGTGGTAGTTAAAATCAACGGACAGTGTCTAATCCGTGATAAAAATATGCTCCGCGAACATGTCCACTCATTACTAAAATCTGCTTGAAATTCTATAATTACATCTGGTTGTTTAAGGGACGGACCGGCTACATATATATGGTAAAATGTATTATAAATTTCAACATGAATCACTGCATTTCTGTTCTTGCAAATAGCACAAATTTCTACATCATAATGATCCTTGTTAAAATTAATACAATTGTCCTATTAATGGTCCTATTAATACAATTGTTAGGTCCTTTATGTGATGTAAGAGATGTAAGAGGATTTCACAAACATTTAAATATTCCCTTTCTAAGGCATTTAGTGCTACCACGTGAATAACATATTTAAATTTATCATGTTTATTATCTTTAGATTCATACATGTTTGAGAATAATGCATCTAATAAACCAACATTTTTTATTGTAAGTAGAATGTTTTGTATTATAAGTAGAATGTTTTGTATTATAAGTAGAATGTTAACGGTCTTGATGCATAATCACAGTGGAAATATCGAGAGTTCATTGCAACTAGAGTGCTACTTCGTGGGGAAGGACGCAAATATGTTGTAATAAATGTTACCATGTTATCAAAAAGTCTTTTCTTAACAGGAAATTTATTGAATTTTGACGCACGCAGGCCGCATGTAAGTGTCCCGACATTAATGTTGATATACAATACAAATTGTTTGCATTTAGACTCATGCAAACTTTGAAACATCTGTATATGTCCACTGCAATAATAGTCCGAATCACGTTCTGCAATGTTCCAAATTAATCTGTCTATGGCAAATAGAGCATGATTTTGCAAAAAGAATCATCTCTTCTTCATACAACTTTAGTTTACGTGGAATCCATTTTTTAATTGTGCTTAGAAATTGTTGTCTTAACTGGATCCAATTAGTTAAACTTAAAGCACAGTCTCGGCGTCGATGATTATCTCGTAAAAATCCGTTTATATATTCACAAATTTGCATATGTTGAGGATGGTGCAACAATTTATGCTCACGGTTGCAATAAGAGATTATATCACACATTTAACATGATATAAAAGATCCATTGTTTAATTTCTTGCAGACGTGACACATGTTTTCATAAAAAATGATTATAATTACTAATATGTAAACTGTCCGTCAAATCAATAACTTCAGATGAATAACTCATGGTAGAATATTTTTTTTATGTATGATATCAATTTAAAAATAAAGTGGGAAACATATAGCTTCTTGTAATAGAAATAATGTATTTGTCTGTCCACAGTAGATTTATAACTGAGTTGTTCACAATTCAAATCTATAGCAGACGACTGTAGAGACGACATTAAGAAGTCCTCTAGTCCGCTACAGTTAATATTGACAAACTAATTTGACAACTATTTGAAAATGTATCGAGCTACGAACACCGTTATTGAACAGAATGTTGCAAATAGACGCGCATGGGATTCTTATAAATTTTTATTACATATAACTTGTGTATATTGGCTTATTGCACTGAAAAAATGATCTTGCAGTCATAGTGAATAACCGTTACACTAAATAGAACGTCACAAATAAACAGGTATGATATATTCATAAGTTTTTATCATATGTAAATAATAAAACAAGAAAAAAAGCACAACGAAAAGGTGAAAGTTTCAAATTTTGAAACTATTGTTAATACATTGAGAAAGTAAGAGTTGAATTATTTTTGTTTTATGTATGTTTTACTGATGATGATGTTTTATGCGTACAAACCCAATTATATACGTATTCTAACTAAGGCGCAATAATATATGAAAAATTTGTATTGTGTTAAATATTGAATTATGTTATACTAAAACTTATCTGAGTTAAATTTATATAGATACCATTATAGGAAACTTTTATACAAACTAAGTAAAAGATGTTTTACAACTAAATCTAAAATTTTATTATTCTACAGCTCAGTTAGAGTAATAACGAAATTGTAATAACCAATACAATGTCGAAAGAAATTATTATTTGCGATTATATTCAATTTTCCATATAACATATTTTTGTATTTACATTATACTTTTCTCTGTACTTGTTTAATTATAGAAGATAATAAACTATATTTCAATAAATATTATCTATCTATTATGGTGAATCGAATACTAATGGTGAATATAAAATTTATTAGGCTTTTTAAATTTAATTTATGGTAAGCCAAAAATTTTTTTTTTACAATTCATACAGCATTTTTGCTCCGTATTTCCACATCAGAATATTGATTCTTAATTAAAGATAACATGTACTGTTAAAACATTGTGTAATCGTGTTGCAACGCTCATAAATTTTAACTTTCCGTATTTATTACGCAAATAGAATGTGCAAGAATATACACTAGATTTAAACACGTTATAAAACAATTTTTAATAATCCAAATATGAATTTTATACTGTAATATTTGCATCCTATTTTTAAAATCAATTTTTCAAGCTGTTACTTTCCTACTCAAATTAAACGTTCTATTTTAAGAAGTTTCTATGTATCTAATATATTCGTTTATTATTATGAATGACTATTAAATAGAAACATCGCAAGTACAATGAAAAGTGCCTTTTATTAAAATATTCATAATTCGATTGTACAAACAACACATATTTTATATTATATATGCTAAAATCTTATTCAAATGCTCTAAACCATTCAGTATGTTCTTCATAAAATACTTGTGTTACAATAGAAAGTTACATAATCATTACGAAAATATACAGAATCAGTCTCCAAATCTCGCCATGGCCTCCAAGATCTAAAAGGATTTGGAGTATTATAGAGAGGATGTATATGCGAACCTAAAATTTGTTTTAAAATAGACACGTTCTGTTGTGCTTTTTCTTCCGATGTGGTAGTTAAAATTAACGGACAGTGTCTAATCCGTGATAAAAATATGCTCCGCGAACATGTCCACTCATTACTAAAATCTGCTTGAAATTCTACAATTATATTTGGTTTTTTAAAAGACGGACCGGCCACATACATATGGTAAAATGTACTATAAATTTCAATATGAAGCATTGTACATCTGTGCTTGCAGAAAGAACAAAGTTCTTTGTCATAATGTTCCTGCTCAAAATTTGGTCCTACTAGTATAATTGTTAGATCCTTTATGTAACGCGTGAGATGTATAAATATTTCCCAAGCATTTATATATTCCTTTTCTAAAGAATTTAGTGCTACCACGTGAATAACGTATTTAAAATCAAGTGTTAAACGTGCGGTTGAAATAACTGGTTCTAGCAAACCAGCATTCTTCATTCCATAATATAATGTTAGCGGTCCTGATACATAATCACAGTAGAAATATTTATAATATATTGCAGCTATACTGTTGTATCTTCCGGTAGGACGCCCATATAATCTAATAAATGTATTCATGTCATTAAAAGATATTCTTTGACTAAAAGGTATTTTTATAAGTTTAGTGAATTTTATGTCAGTGAATTTGTGTACACTAGTCACGATATTAGTGTTGATATATAAAACAAACTGTTGGCATTTTTGCTCATGCAAACCTTGAAATATCTGTACATGGTCAATACAATAATATTCCGAATAACACGTTGTACAGTGTAACAAATTAATCTGTCTATGACAAA